CGTCGGCATCGGGGCGGGGCCTCGGGAGGGGCGGGGTTAGCCGCAGGGTGCCGAGGGAGAGGGGCTGCCTCCAGTGCTGGACTGGCGTCGGCTACCTAGGTTAGTGTGCTCTGGCGTCCCCACCCTTCGTATCCGCAGCTGTTTAGTCATTTTTTTCAGTCCCGGGATTGGGCATTGGACCCTGCGGCGTTGTGCAAGTTTGTGGCTGTATGTGAAAATAAAGGCAGCTAAGGAGCTTTGTTTTTGTTTGTGGTTTTTGTTTTGTTTTGAGACGGTCTCATTTGGTGATCCTGACTGGCCTGGAAACCACTTTGTAGACCAAGCTGGCCTCAGAACTCACAGAGATCGCCTGCATTGGCTGGAGCGCTGGGATTGAAGACGCGCACCACCACGCCCACCCCAAATCAAGATCTGTGAAAATCTGAGCCTGTGTTTTAAGGCCAGTCCCGGTTAACTGGGGACTATTATTATTATTATTATTATTTTATTATTAGCATAACTGGCTTGAGGTGCTTAAGGTGAAACTCCGAAAACAGGAAACAGTTCATTGTCTACCTTTACATTAGAATATGGTTTTCTCACATGTATGTTGGAGGAGGTTTACCCAAGAAGAATGTTAGTATAATACCCAGTTATGACTAGCTGTTACAATGGCCTGAGTTCTCAGGACAAACGTTGTTAGGTGTGGATAGGTCCGGGTGCAAAGGTCTGTGTGTTTTAGCCAGCCAGAGGAGCTTATATAACACAAGTTTGACAGATAAACACAAGTTACCTGGTTCCGTGTTTGTTTAACTCTACAGAGATATACTCTTTATTTAAATTTCTGAGTCAGTCTTGAGGTAGAGCATAGTTGGATTCAAGAACTGAACAAGGCTTCCACGAGCCTCTTGATTAGTAGAACAAGCAGAAATTCTAAGGGAGATGTTAGACAGCGTGCAAAACCATAAACAACCCTAAACTAGGGATGGAAATTTTAGGGGCAGAGAGTGTGGCCCTCAACCCAAGAGTAAATGAGCCGTGGGAAGCAAAGAATGGACCATGAGAATGTAGCCAAAGAATGGTATACCTTTAAAATGTGGCTAGCAGAAATTTCAGTGTCCACCTAGTGAAGGAGTTAGGAGGGAACAGGGCCAGGAGTGGGAGGGTATAGGGGTGGGGATGGAGGGGTATAGGAATGTACAGCTTCACTCTTCTGTCTTAACTATCTACAATGTGGTTTTGTTTCCAGGGTAGCAGGCCATGTAGGAGACTGTATTAAACAGTTCACTCTGACAGACTTGAGTCTGTAATTTGTGCTTCCTTGATTTCATGGTAGCACAGTTATATGGTGGCATTGCTATTCAAATCTAAACAAATAAATGATATTCCTTGCCTCAAAGGAATGCATTTTAATAATAATAGATTGTCACAAAGTCAATGATAGGAAAGTTGTAGGGAAAGTTGTGAAGATGAACCAAAGACAGAGTTTGAAAATGACAAAATAAATCATGTGGGAGGGGCTAGAAAAAGACATTAAGCAACAAGTTTGACTTCATTTGTTTGTCCTCATTGCCTCAATTCCCAGCCCTTTGCCTTGTTTCCTCAGTGGTTTAACCCTTAGGAAAAACAGACATACCAATGAAAGTAAACACATGTTGGCTGGATGAGGCCTATGGACGCATGCCCTCTATTGGTAGAGGTAACAACCTCCCAGGAGGGTAATCTACAATGTGAGTTAGAAGATCCCACAAACATGTGCTCTTTGATACAGGAATCTTTCTTCAGGGAAATTATCTTGAGGAAATCATTGGATACAGATATAAAGATGTGTGCTGTGGAGTATAGTTTAAGATGCATTACAGTCATGTGTGCTGTGGAGGATTTACTTAATGATACAATGTATTGCATTCTTTTATGTTGCATTTGTTTAACTCTGTAAAGCTGTGTTACTTTGCCTGTCTAAAATACCTGACTGGTCTAATAGAGACCCAAATGACCAATAGCAAGGCAGGAGAAAGCATAGGTGGGCTGGCAGGCAGAGAGAATAAATAGGAGGAGGAGTCTGGGAAGAGGAGATCAAGAAGCAAGGAAAGGAGGAGAGAAGATGTCAGGGACCAGTTACCCAGCCACACAGCCAACTACAGAGTAAGAAGTAAAAACAGGTATATAGAAGAGAGAAAGGTAAAAGCCCAGAGACAAAAGGTAGATGGGATAATTAAGTTAAGAAAAAGTTAGCTAGAAATAAGTCAAGCTAAGGCTGGGCATTCATATGAAAAAATAAGTCTCTGTGTACTTATTTGGGAGCTGGGTGTTGGGCACCCAAAGAGCAGAGAGTAAAAAAACAGAACAAAGCAAAAAACAAACCAACTACAGATATGTATAGCATTTTTTCTTTAAGTGCAGAGCTAATAGAAAGAAAAGCTCACATGATGAAAAATCTTCATGGCTGAATTTGGAATCACCTAGGAAACAGCTCTGGATAGGCTGTGAGGAAGCTTTCAAAGAGGTTTAACTGAGAAAAAGAAAACCCACCCTGAATGTGGCACCATTCCAAGGGCTGTGGTCCTGAATGGAATAAACCGGAAAACAAAGAAGCCAGGTGAGTACCAAGTGTTCATTACTCTGTTTCTTGGCTGTGGACAGAAGGTAAACAGACACCTCAAGCTCCACCTCCATGTTATCCCCACCATGGTTCTGTACCCTCTCAAACCATAAGCCAAAAGGAAAGCCTCCCTCTGACTTGAGTTCTTTTCTCATAGCAATGAAAAAGTAAAAACACAAAAAGCTGAACACTAATTAAATTCAATAATACAAATGATTTACATTACACAGCTAATGGGAGGAAAGGGTGGTCAGGTGGTTACAGGCATGGACTCCTGTCCAAAGTAGTATTTACAAAAAACAAACAAATGAGCGAACAAGACAGCTAACTCAGAAGTTGACAAGATGCTTCTAATTTTAGATTTGTATTAGAAAGGAACTTGGGAAGTAGCTCAGGAGGTAACATGCTTGCTGTACAGGCCTGAGAACCTGGGTTTGAAACCCCAGAATGTAGAAGTATGTGCCGCCAAGTCTAGTGCTGAGGGGTGGACACGGGAGCTCCGAATCTATGACAAGCCAGTCCATCCAACCAGTGAGCTACAGGACAATGAGAGACCCTGTCTCAAAAACTAAAGTAGAGTCAGACATGGTGACACACCCCTTTAATTCCAGAACTCGGCAGATGAAACAGGTGAATCTCTGTAAGTCTGAAGCCAGTCTGATTTCCATAGAAAGTTTCAGGCTAGCCAGGACTATATAGTGCGACTGTGTCTAAAAAACAACATTAATAAATAATAAGATAAAGAGAGATAGACAGGAACACCCTAAATTGACCTCTGGCCTCCACATGCGTGCGCGTGCGCACACACACACACACACACACACACACACACACACACACACACACACAGAGCATTCCCTAAAATGTCATTTTATTGTTTATGTGATACTGGGATTCAGATTTTTTCCCTTTTGTTCTTTACCTTTTTTCTTAATGTATCAAAACTTTCTTATAAAGGACTTGTAAATTTAAAAAAAAAATCATGCAGCCAAATTAACTTGACCCAAAGTCTACACACCCAGTGGCCTCTGTAGTCATTTGGAAGCTGGAGCTCTGGCTTAACTTTTTTTTAAGTAAATCATGTATAACTTTTCTTTTCTAAAGTATTATTTGTTGCCAGGTGATGGTGGCGCATGCCTTTAATTCCAGCACTCAGGAGACAGAGGTAGGCAGATCTCTGTGAGTTCAAGGCCAGCCTGGTCTACAGAGGGAGTTCCAGGACAGTCTCCAAAGCTACAGAGAAACCCTGTCTTGAAAAACAGAAAGAGAGAAAGAAAGAAAGAGAGAAAGAAAGAAAGAAAGAAAGAAAGAAAGAAAGAAAGGAAGGAAGGAAGGAAGAAAGGAAGAAAGAAAGAAAGAAATTGATTCATTTGTTTGTTTTGTTGGTTGGTTGGTTTCTTGGAATAGCCCTGGCTGTCCTGAAACTCACTCTGTAGACCAGGCTGGCCTCGAACTCAGAGATCCACCTGTCTCTGCTTCCCATGGGTTGAGATTTAAAGGTGTGGCCCCCACCCACCTTTCTAATCTTAAAGTGTATTTTGGAGAGCGGCTACTAGAATGTCTATCTTTGGAGATTTCACAGGAACAATTTATTCTTTGAACTCCAAGGGTTGGGGGATTGGTAGGAGGGCTGTCCTCACCCGGGGTGGGGGGCAGTTAGTTTCCCTTAAACCTACCTAGCTGGGCATGTGGCTCATTCCCGTGACGCTGGTAGAGCAGAGTGTCACAGACTAAGCAATTTATGATGAGCAGAAGTTTGTTTGGATCACAACACTGAAGGCTGGGAAACCCAGAACTTGGAGAGCAGCTTCCTGCTGTAGCACCCTCTGATAAACACAGAGGTTTGGGGTGGGTGAACTCCTTTACACAACAAACACTATTAAAAGTTTTTACTTCATAGCCACATGTGGTTAGGATCCCAGCACTAGGCCAGCCTGGGCTACATAGTGACTCCCAGGCCAGCCTGGGTTACATAATCAGGCTGTATCACTAAGACAAAAGAACAGTGAAAAG